CGCTTCCCCCTCGATCTCGCGGCGAGAGCACGAGCGCGCCGTCCCCCGGCGCGCCACAGCACGCTCTTCCTTAGGTCGTCCCGCGAGAGAAGAGCCGATGGTCTCGCCCGAGCTGCGCCGCCGGCCCTCCCCGCCCCCGCCCCCGCCGCCGCCGCCCGACGCGGCGTCCGAGTCTTCACGGAAGACGATGCGGACGCCCGCGAGGCAGCACACCCGCCGAGTAGTAGCCAACAAACTCACTTCCAAGATCTGACCCTACCCACGCTCCAAGCGACTAGCGACAAGAGACGTGCGCACGCCGGCCCGCCGGGCGACGCGGCTCTTCTGCTCGTACGGACCAGTTCTCTCCTCGCTAGCAGGACGCCGGCAGGCCAGGCACGACGCGGATCCACGGGTTCGGTTTCCCAGACGGCGCCTCCGTGCCGCGCCGCGCCCTTCCCGAGCCCTGCACCCCACCCTCACATTGACCCGAACCGCCCAGGCGGCGCTTCGCTCCTCTCGCTCCTCCAAGGCAGCGCCTCCTCCCCTCGGGCTGCAGCGGAGCGGCTCGATGGGCGCGGCGATGCTCTCTCCACCCCCAGCACAAGGCATGCCCGCACCCGCTCATGCAGCCACAACACTCTCGCCATCATGCACCTCCGGGCCTTGCTTCTTTCTATCCCTGTCCCAGGCCGCGGATCACGCCCTCTCACCCAACACCACTCGAGCTATGTGGATCACCTCTCACCCCTCCCCATCCCTCACCCCGCCCCCTCACCCCCAGGCCGCGCGAGTCGCGCCGAGCTGCGGCGCTCCACTTCGTCCCTGGAGAAGGGCCTGCTCGATCACATGTGCCGCCAGACCCCCTCGAGCGAGGGACGCACGCTCCAGCCTCGCCTCGGGCACAGCGGCGCCGTCCAGCCCATTGACGAGTGGTGGCATGTGCGTACTCAGGGCTCGAGGAGCCCAACCTCCGCTTCGCCGACTCGATGCGGCTGCTCTGGCTGGCGGCGTCGATGAAGAACCTCGACGTGATCCTCGTCCTCTTGCCCACCGACAGCGAGTGCCTCGAGGTGTGCCACCTCATCAGCGAGGCGATGCCCCTCGTCGAGCAGGCGCGGCGAGATTGCCCGAGATTGCCTGAGGTTGCCCGAGGTTGCCCGAGGTTGCCCGAGATTCGATTGCCCGAGATTGCCCGAGACTGTGCCCCTCGTCGAGCAGGCGCGGCGGCAGCGCTGGTCGAAGCCGCCGCAGGTCATCGTCTCTCTGCGCGACGACGCTGCGGCCGCCAAGCTCACGGCGAGCCTGACCCCGCCGCCCCTCATCGTCGGGCCGACGCTCGCGTTGCCGCGCCTCATCTGCGAGGTGCTCCCACCCCAACATGCACCACAAGGAACGGAGAAGACGGATTCTTGTACTCTGGAGAGTCTGCACCACACCGTCCTCCCGCCCTGATGTTGGCGTATTCAATGCCGCGGGGCTCCTGTCTTCTAGACGTGGAGTCGCGAGGGTCGCCTGGCCCTTGCCCCACCACCTCGTGTGTGCGGAGAATTGGCCCGCACCTTCCCTTATAGGTGCTCCACCCGATGGCGCACTGGACCGGCTCCTTCGAGTCGACTCCGATGCAAGACGTCCTCTCCGAGATCATGACCTCCGCCCGCGACGCCGACTCGCCGCGCAGCGCCCGTGGCGGTCTGCCAACGACGGGCCCGGGCAGCTTGGGAAGCCTGGGTGACTTGGGAGCCGCGGGAGGCGCGGCGTCGGCGGGCGCGGCCTTCTGTGCGGACGTCTCGCCGCCGACCAGAGGGGGCGGCGCCTTCGTTGATCCGCTCACCGGAGCCATGCCGAAAGAAGGCGAGGCGTCCGCCTACGAGAAGCTCCTCCTCTCGCCGATGGTCTCGCCGGGGCGGCTCGGCTCGTGCAAGGAGAGCCCCTTCGAGGAAGAGGCAAGGCCAGACCCGGTGTCTTGCGAGGACTCGCTCAGCGCCGCCCTCCGCACACGCCGCCGTGAAGAGCGCCTGCTCACGGCGGCCAGTACCGCGAGTAGGACTCGGAGCTTCTCTCGGCCGACGACGAGGGCGGCGAGCCGTCGGACGCGGAGGAGCCGTCGCAAGCGCAGGACGCGGACGCAGACGAGGTGCACGAAGGGGCTGCGGCCACTGACGAGGTGCGCTTCGCTCAGCTGCTCCATCTGGCCCGGTAGGCGAAGCAGGCGGCGGCGATGAAGGCGGTGGTCGCGGAGGGTCCGGAGGCAGCGGAGGTGGAGTCTCCGGCGGCCGGCACCGCCGTCGCGGACGGCGCGGGAGGAGAGGCGCAGGGCGATGCGCAGGGCCCGGCCCACCGCGGGCTGGAGAGCCTCAAGGACCTAGTGTGAGCGGAAGGGGCCGTTGCGGGCGACCGCAGCCTCGCCGCCTGCCCTGACTATTACCGCCTGGCTGCCCTGTGTCAGCCTCGTGAGCGGCGAGGTGCAGGTCGTCGCGGCGGACGGCGTGAGCCACGCATAGGACCGACTACTGCGCCGCCTCACGCTAGCTAGTACGACCGCGCACCCTGACGTGAGAGTAAGTACTCACATTCATGCATTTGTGTATCATGTGCAACCATGCTACACGTCGTACGGTTCACGACGTGGACGGACGTGTGTAGTATCGGTGTGCGCGAGCGCCGAGCGCGTGCGCGTGCAGGCATGCCCGCAGAGCCAGAGGCATCGACTGTGTATGCCCCCGTCCGCCTGCGCCTCGCTTAAAAAGTACGGGGTCGCTCGCTCGCACTCTCTGGAAGTAACTCTCTGTGGTGTGACGCCCGAAACGAACCCAGATGAGAGAACAGATACGAGAAGAGAAGGTCCACCCTTCTCCCGTCGTCGTCGTCCTCGGAGAGAGATCTCATCTCAGTCATCACCAGTTCGAGGTGAGTCGCCCCCCCTCACCTCGCCGCGCGGCGCTCCTCCTCTCGCCGCGCACGCGAGGCGGCGAGGAAGAGCGCCGCCGACACGGCGTGTGAGGTGGGGATCAGCACGGTGAGCATGCTACGGAGCGGGACGCCGCGCCGCATGAGCGCGCCGATGAGGAGGGGGGAACCGTTGGACACGATCTGCAGCGCATTGACGAGGCCCTGCGCCGACCCCCAAACGTCCTGCGGCAGCGCGCCCTGCAGAGCCGACGTGAAGGGGCCGAACCAGCACTCGCCGGCAAGGTAGGCGAGCAGCAAGCAACCGAGCGCCGGAGCAAACGCGCGGCTCTGCAGCGCGCCCAGCCAGAGGGGGATGCAGAGCAGGGAGCCTATGCTCGGCGTCCTCTCGGCGTCCTCTCGGCCGAAGACGCGAGAGGGGCGGGGATGCAGAGCGGAGGAGAGGAGAGGAGAGGAGAGGACAGAGAGGAGGCGGGGAGGCGAGGAGGCGAGGCGTGGGTGTGTGTGTGTGTGGGGGGGGGGGGGGCGAAGGGAGGAGGAGAGGCGCGCGAACCACGCTCGCCACTCGATAGCTGATCAGTGCCTCTGCTTGATCTCGGCTATCTCGGCTATATCTCGGCTATGTCTCCACCCGCCACCGGCACGAGCAGCCCGCGGTGCGCCGTCAGCTGACGGCCTGCGGAGGGGAAACCGCCCCGAGATTGGCCCTAGACCGCTCCGAGATTGCCCCGAGATTGGCCCTAGACCGCTCCGAGATTGCCCCGAGATTGGCCCGAGATTGGCCCGAGATCGAGATTGCCCCGAGATGGGCCCGAGGTTGGACGAAGGTGCGCCGCCCGCCTGGCCGCCGCTGTACGAGGCGGTCGCTCAACCAGCCGCCGGCGATGGTCGAGACGGTGCCGCCGATGGCGATGAAGGCGCCGTTTGCGAGCGCAAACTGACTCGCGTGCTCCGGGTGGCACTGGCGGAAGAATGGCACTGACCACGCGCCGACGGCGTAGCCGCAGAACGAGCGTACCGTCGAAGCGAGCAGCAGCAGCGATGCGGAGCGGGTGGCGCAGACGCGCCCGAGCGACGCGACCGCCCCGGCAGCAGCGGCGGGTGGCAATAGCGATGGCGGCGATGGCGGCTGCGGCGGCAGCTGCGGCTGCGGCGGCTGCGGCGGCTGCTGATGCTGCCGCCGCCGCCGCTGCAGCGGCGATGGCAATGGCGGCGATTGCGGCGGGCTGCGGTTGATGGTCGCGCGGCGGGAGGTGGCGGCGACGGCGGCGAGGGTGGCGGAGGCAAGGAGGGAGAAGGCGGCGGTGAGGAGGCTCATCGCCCGCCAGCCGATCCGTCGGTTGGCGAGGGCGGAGAGGGAGGCGAGCGCGTAGCCAATGTACAGGCCGGAGGAGTAGACGGCATTGGCGCGGCCGCGCGAGTCCTTGGAGAATGCCTCGCCGATCAGCGGGTAGGCGGCGGGGGAGCAGAACGCCTGCGAGACGCCGAGCACCGCACGCGAGGCGAGCAGCTGCGGGTAGGAGCTGGCGCAGCCCTGCAGCGCCGCCGCGCCGGACCAGAGGGCAGAGGCGGCCACAAGGACGGGCGCACGCGCAAAGATGTCGCACGCGGCGCCGGCGGCGAGCGAGGCGACGGAGTAGAGGGCGGTGAAGGCGTACGAGGAGAGCAGCCCGTACTGCACCTCGTCAAGCTCGAGCGCCACGTTCATGAACTCGTGCGCACTGCCGTCGCTGCCAAAGCGGACGAGGCTGGCGGGAAGCGCGCGGCACCACTGGTTGGAGACGTAGATGAGGACGAGCGCACCGAGCAGCAGCCGCGGCCGACGCGCCGCGCTCGTCTTGGACTGTGCCGCCGGCCCCGCCGCGCAGAGGAGAGGCGACGACGAGCCGCGGCGGCGTTGTAGCTGCCATGCCGGCAGCGCCGGCCGACGAGCCACGTAGCCGCGTGCGGGCACGACGCCGTCCACGCCGAGTGGCCGCTCGAGCGCGGCGGCGAAGGCCAGCAATGCCAGCACGACGCGCGGCATCGGGAGCACGACACCAAAAAATAACTTTTCCGTCTGTTACTAATCTCCCATCCCTCCCTTGGGTTGTCCGTTTTCTTTCTTTGATCCTGGAGATGTCTGCTCTATTTATTTATTCTGGCACTAATAGCAGGGCGTGCATCACACCTAAAACACAGGTGGACTGTGTGACTCCTCGGGTTTCTGGGACTCAGAGGTGTGCTAGTCGCTATTCTCCGACAATTCCGACATGTCTGACGGGCAGTTCGGGCTCGAGCGGTCGCGGTCGCGGCCAGCGCGTGAGGCCTGGCTAGGGTAACCGGGCGAGAGCTCGACCCACGCGCCGGAGCGCGCGTGGTCTCCCAAAGAAAGAAAGAAAGAAAACAGACAACCCAAGGGAGGGATGGGAGGACGGCACGCCGCCACCACACAGGGATTTTAAGGAGAGGTGTGTGGTGCGCTAGCCGTCGCCCACCCTAGGGAGTCTGCCTCTTCCTATCTCTCTTCGCAGTCTCTCTCCGATTCTCGCTGCAACCTTCATGCCACCTCGCGGTCGTCCCACTCTCGTCGTTCTCTCCCTTGTCATTTCCTAGTGTCCGCACGGAGTTCGTTGTAAAATTCTTGCGTATCGCGTACGTCCCCGACAGCCGCGCCGGCCCGTCGCTGCCCTGCCCTCGAAACCGACGCATGGACTTCGGGCGTAGCCTGCAGCGCCCGAGATGGACCCATACGTGGCCTGCAGCAATGGCTGGTTCGAGGCCGTGGAGTCCGCTCTCGCCGCGGAGCCCGCTCTCCTCAATGCGCCACAGCGTGGGGGCCTCTTTGACTCTCGCACGCTTCTCCACTGTGCCGCATCGAGAGGCCACGTGCATCTCGTAGCGGAGCTGCTCAAGAGAGGCGCGGACCGTAGCGTGACGGACAAGCGCGGTGCAACTGCACTCGTACTCGCAGGCAAGGCTGGCCACAGCGAGGTTGCCTCCCTCATAGAGGCGGACTCCGCCAGCACATCAGCAAGCTCCAACAAGGCTCCTCCCGGCCGTGGTGCTCGGGTTCAGTCGAGAGAGGAGCGCGCCTTGCTTTCTCGGGAGCGTCGCCTGGAGCGCGCCCTGCTGATTGAACAGCACCGAAAATCGCGAGAGTCGAACGGCGAGAAAGAGGCGCAACGAGGACAACAGAGGAGCACCACAAAGGGCGGCAGCGGTCGGGAGCCTGGGAGAAGGAGAGGAGGGCAGGGCGGCAAAGGTCAGCTCTGGTCAACCCGGTCTGGTCGGCCCGTCGCACGTCCTGCTGTGCTCCGCCACGCGCCGAGGAGCAATTCGCCGACCGGAGGGGCGTCGCATATGTCACGGCAGATGTTGGAGGATCTTGGGCTGCGAGCTCCGCTTGCGACGGCACCCCTGGACCCTACTCCGCCGTCGGCGAGAGCATCCCCAGACTCCACTCCGCTGGCGAGAGCAGCCCCAGACTCTGCTGTGCGAGCCCTTGCGAGCTCGGGCAATCGCAGATCGACTCGAACGGTTGAGTTGGAGGAGCTGCGCAAGCAGCTAGAAGCCCTTCGCAAGGAGAACAGCTGGCTCAAGCTCCAGACCACGGGCGAGGCATCCCTCGACGAGGACGAGGCCGGGTGGCGCGAGTTCCTCTCCCACCTCAAATGCGTGCTGCAAATGCGGTCCGCGGGTAGGTTTGAGCAGGCAACCTTCGACCAGTTCGAGCAGGCGCTCGTTGCCCTCTCGGATCAGCACCTTCGCGATCTCTACTCTGGGCTCATGTTGATCTATATCGACGAGCACGACGCCGCCGTGCTCGAGAGGCTCGGCATCGGCGAGCCCGACGAGTCGACAGTGGGGTTCGCGGAGATGGTCACGATTCGGCTCGGCGAGCTGATGGACGTTCCTCGACACGTCCGCATCCAAAACTTCCAGACAGCTCAGCGTCGCAAAGACGAGAAGGTGCGGGAGCGAGCGGAGGAGGACAGGCGCGCCCGCGAAGTGATGGCTGCGGCTGCGGCTCAGCGCGAGATTAATGAGCGGGTCGGAAAGGCACTCCAGCCGCGCTGGCGGTCTCTTCTTGCCGGCGAGGGGGAGGCGTCTGAGGTCCGACGCTTTCAGCGTCACCCCGAGCTCCGGCTACTCGTTGCGAGCGACACCGACCTCAAGATGATCTCGCCATACGACTGGCGGAACATGGCGTGCTCCGGTCTGAGAGAGCAGGAGCTGCGCTGCCTCTCCTCCCGGCTCGACACTCCGGGAATGCCAGCGCAGGCAGACGGCTTCAAGAGGGCCGTCGCCGCTCGACTCGCCACGTGCGATCTTCCGACGGAGGCGGCTGTGGCCACGCTCTGCAAGGCCCACGGTGGCGGTGTCAGTGCTAGCACACCCGAAGGAGAGGCTCCGCCGAAGCCATTGCCGGCTACGACGCCGGCGCCGCCCCCTGCTCCGCCGCCGCCGCCGCCGCCGCCGCCGCCGCCGCCGCCGCCGCCGCCGCCGCCGCGACCTCCACCGCATCCGCAAGCTCCAGAGAGGGCGGCTGAGAGCGGCGTTAGCACCGCCGATGGACATTCCCAGATTGTTGCCGCCATTGCTGCACGCAAGGCCGCACAAGAGGAGAGGATGCGGATGATAGCGGAGGGCGAGCTCGAGGTGGAGGATCCGCGCGAACGGCGGCTGCGCGAGATTGCGCTGAAGCAGACAAAGCTGCCCTTACTTGCGTTCCCTGCCTTGCCCAGAAAGCAGAGCTCGGAGCTCAGCAATCTCGGGACATCGCGGGCCGATGGAGCAACGTAGGTAACGGCACGAGAGCTTGGCCGCTTGTGCTGACTGATTTTGGCCCTCAGGCCAGCCTCAGGCTCGGCTCAGAGCCCGAATATAAAACGTCGAGGATTTCACTGAGTTTCTTGAGCAGCTTACAGCTCGGGCGTCTGCCTAGCACTCGTCGCACGTCGCAGTCTCTCGCCCACGCGCAGCAGTGTAGCAGCGACCTCCCCACCGGAAGGCCCCTTGTATCTTTAAACGCAGAAGAATTATTTTTAATGGGTGATGCTCCGATAAACCCGCCGGATCTTCGACAAAACCAGGGATATTTCTTTTCTGGGAGGGTAGGTGTGAATACAGCTTTCTGGTAGGGTTACATCGACGAACTTTGCGGCAATCGACTGGGGGGCAGCCCCCCAGCACATCCCGCACAGAGACCTCGATGTAACCCGATTGTGAGCGTGAAACCGCCGATGCGATTGCTCATTGGGACATTGCTCAGTCAGTGACCGACAGTCAGCCAGCAGCAGACTTTGACGATTGGTGGCCTCGCGCCCTCAGTCCACCTCCTCTACTAACGGCCCTGCCCCAGCCCAGATGCCTCATCCAGGGTGGTGCAACTACTCGCGCAGGGAGAGAGAGACAGTCGGCGATCTGCGCCGCGCAGATGAGCTCCGCCTCGTCTGCATCGAGGACGTCCACCGCAGGGCTATCATAGCGCCATATGACGTACTGCCTGTTGTTCATTACTTCGCAGGTGCCAAAGTCGAGGACAATCTCACTGGTGGCGGTTGCACTCCCGGCCGGCGGTAGGAGAGATGAAGGCTAATGTACTTGGCGGTGCCTTCCGGCGTGATCCATGAACAGTGCCCCGGGACGAAAGAGGAGGCGACGTCTCTCTCGTCCACGAGCGCCTCGATGTGCGCATCGACGGTGTAACCTGCTTTGAGAGACGGGAACGAACGGCGGTGAATCGCCGACAGCGGCGCCTTCGTTCCTACCACCACTGCCACCACCGCCAGCTCCGCCGTGGACCTTGCCGGGCCCTCTGATGATTGTAGTACCGTGGAGCAGCTCGTCCGAGCCGTTGTTGTACTCTGCTGTGGCGCCAGCTCGGTGTACAATACGGACGAAGACGGCCACAGCAACGGTGTTACCAGCGCGAGCATACAGGCAGCGCGAAGCCGCGTGCCTCGTTGGCGCGCCCGCCGAAATCCTGGGCCTCGAGTTCTTTGGCGTAGGGGACCCAAAACCCTGCGGCGGGCCATTACTTTCGCTGCTTTCGAATTCATAGCTCTTTCGCACGCCTTTATCCGTCACTCCCCCGGAGACCAGTCTTTATTGAGCTTGAGTTGGAGTGTGTTGATTTATGCACAAATCTGTGTGTTGCGAGCGCTAGATGGCGAAATTTTCTTCGCCTCCGGCGGGGCCGCTCGCCGCGGGGCTAGAGGGACTTTTGTCGATGTCGGCTAGAAGTGCTGCACCTTTTTGAGAATTTCACCCACCCTAATAATGTTCAACATTGGCCGCCGAAATCGAGGGGTGTGCTTGCCGCACGACTTTATCCCTGGTGCGGCCGGAATTTTTCGCGGTCTCCGCGGCGGATATGACGGGAGATATGGCGGGATATGGCGGGATGCCGCGGGGAGAGATACACCGGGAGATACCGGGAGATACCGGGAGATACGAGATACGGGCAGATACGCCGGCCCCCAACTCCTCCCACTTTTCTCTTTTAGCCCGAGATCGCGCATCTCGGGGCATATCTCGGACTCGGCGAGGTGGATCCGTGGATTGGGTTGGGAGCGAGGGGGCGGAAGTGATCAGTGCGGTAGATCGGTCAGTCGGGGCGCGTGAGCCGGACTTGGGGGCCGGGGCGGCTTTCATTTCTCTCTGCGTTCTGCACATGCGACATGGAGTGCAAGATACTCGTTTGTTGCTCGTTCTGTTGCCGTCCCAAATGTCACTCCCCTTTCTCCGCGGCGGCGGGTGTGCGGGATGTCTGTGAGCCAAACATCGAAGCAAAGCTAAAAAAAGAACAATGCGCCGCGCTCAGATATCCGCCGCGACGACGTTCGATCGACAACTCTCCGTTCATGCGACCTAATGTGCGCCTCTCGGCGAACCTCAGCATGCTCTTCACCGAGGCTCCCTACCTCAAGCGCTTCGGCCTCGCCGCCCGTCACGGCTTCCGCGCCGTCGAGTCGCTCTTCCCGTACGGCGAAGCACCTGCGAGTGCGGTGGCTGCGGAGCTTGAGAGGCACGGGATGGAGCAGGTGCTTGTCAACGCGCCTCCTGGCGACTGGGCCGGCGGCGAGCGCGGCGTCGCCGCCCTTCCGGATCGGGGCGGCGACCACGAGGCGAGCCTTCGCGAGGCGTTTGTGTACGCCGCTGCAATCGGCTGCCCGCGGGTGCATGTGCTGGCCGGCCTGCGGCAGCAGGGTGCGTGCGAGCAGACCTTTGTCGAGCGGCTGCGCGCGGCTGCGGGCGAGGCCCAGTCGGCCGGCATCACGCTCTGCGTCGAAGCTCTCAACCCTTCCGACGTGCCCGGTTACCTGCTGCCATCGCAGGCGCGCAGGAGAAGGGTGAGGTGCACACAGCCTCAGAGCGAAGATCTGCGCCGAAAAGTGCGCCGCCGGCGAAGAACTGCACCGTTTTCGGGGCAGATCTGCGCCGCCGGCGCAGAAGTGCGCCGTTCCCCCGTTTCGGCGCGCTCTGCGCCGCCTCACCACATAAGGGTTGGCACACCAAATACTGGTTGCACGTTCCTAGGGGGGTTGGGAGGCAGGAGAGCCGCGGCAAGCCGAGCACGAGAGAGGCGCAGCCGAGCCGCCGCCGCCGCCTCTCCCGTCGCAGGAGGACGCCGCGCGCGTGGTCGACGCCGTCGGCCACCCGGCCTGCGGCCTGCAGTTCGACCTCTACCACCTCCAAAAGGCGGCCGCGCGGTGGCCGAGTGAGGCGGTGCGGTGCGCGATCCGCACGTACGCGCCGCGCGCTGCCCACGTCCAGATCGCAGGTCCGGAGGGGAGGCACGAGCCCGACGCGGCGGCTGCGGCTGCGATGCTGGCGCTCCTCGAGGAGGGCGGATACCGCGGCCACGTCGGCTGCGAGTACAACCCGGCGGGCGGAACCAGCCGCGGGCTTGCGTGGGCGGCCGCCTACGGCATCGAGGCACCGCGCGAGGAGCCAGCGTGACGCGCGCAGCCAGTCGACACTCTTGTCACCTTACGTAACATGCATGTACATGTACATGTGTCCATGTAGCATGCACATTCGTTTTTCGTGTTTTTATCGTTTTGTCTATTGAAAGTCCGCGTCGCGAGTATCTACGACGCAAGTGTGAGAGGCGACCGAAATGGGTGAAATTCTCAAAAAGGTGCAGCACTTCTAGCCGACATCGACAAAAGTCCCTCTCTAGCCCCGCGGCGAGCGGCCCCGCCGGAGGCGAAGAAAATTTCGCCATCTAGCGCTCGCAACACATAGATTTGTGCATAAATCAACACCTCCAATCTTCGGGGGAGTGACGGATAAAGGCGTGCGAAAGAGCTAATGAATCCGAAAGCAGCGAATCCAAGTGATGGCCCGCCGCAGGCGAAGAAAATTTAGGGTTGGGGTTCCCCTATGCCAAAGAACTCTGAGAGGATTTCGGCGGCCGGCGCGCCGAGGCACAGCGGTTTGCGCTGCCTGCTCGCGCTGGTTACACCGTTGCTGTGGCCGTCTTCGTCCGTATTGTACACCGAGCTGGCGCCACAGCAGAGTACAACAACGGCTCGGACGAACTGCTCCACTGTACTACATCATCAGAGGGCCCGGCAAGGTCCACGGCGGAGCTGGCGGTGGTGGGAGTGGTGGTAGGAACGAAGGCGCACCTGTCGGCGATTCACCGCCGTTCGTTCCCGTCTCTCAAAGCTGGTTACACCGTCGATGCGCACATCGAGGCGCTCGTGGACGAGAGAGACGTCGCCTCCTCTTTCGTCCCGGGGCACTGTTCACGCCGGAAGGCCCCGTACACTGCCAAGTACATTAGCCTTCATCTCTCCTACCGCCGGCCGGGAGTGCAGCCGCCACCAGTGAGATTGTCCTCGACGTTGGCACCTGCGAAGTAATGAACAACAGGCAGTGCGTCATATGGCGCTATGATAGCCCTGCGGTGGACGTCCTCGACGCAGACGAGGCGGAGCTCATCTGCGCGGCGCAGATCGCCGACTGTCTCTCCCTCCCTGCGCGAGTGGTTGCACCACCCTGGATGAGGCATCTGGGCTGGGGCAGGGCCGTTAGTAGAGGAGGGCGACTGAGGGCGCGAGGCCGCCAATCGTCAAAGTCTGCTGCGACTGACTGTCGGTCACTGACTGAGCAATGAGCAATCGCATCGGCGGTTTCACTCACGCTCACAATCGGGTTACATCCAGGTCTCTGTGCGGGATGTGCTGGGGGGCTGCCCCCCAGTCGATTGCCGCATAGTTCGTCGATGTAACCCTACCAGAAAGCTGTATTCACACCTACCCTTCCAAAAAAAGAAATGTCCCTGCTTTTGTCGAAGATCCGGCGGGTTTATCGGAGCATCACCCAAATGCTCAGCCTGCTATGAAACGAACTAAAACCCGAGAGGGGGTGGGAGTGCCTCCCAGGCCTCCACAGACTCCACGCCGGGCACGGCGAACCGTGACCGACACTCACCGTTGTGTGACGCCTGCCCGCATACATGAAGACACCTCGTCGCCGCCTCCTCCGCTCTGCCGTGGCCGCTGGGCTCGCTGTGCAGCAGGGTCCAGCCATCCGCACGGGTGCGATCACTGCCAACAATGGCGGTGTTGCCCTCTCTGCCGAGGAGCAGGTTTCCCGAGGCCTGCCGACGGTGAGCAGCAGCGACCCGTTTAGGCTGGTGGGTGCACGCAGCAGACCGCTCGAGAGCCTGGTGGAGGTGCCTCTCTCGCTCTGCGGAGGCGCATACTGCATCACTTACACGATCGACAACCAGCCGTTCCGCGCAGTCGTTGACACTGGCTCGCCCTTCCTTCTAGTCGAGGGCGCGAGGCCTGACGGCACGTGCGGGCAGGCCGCGAATGCACAGCGCTGGGGCTGCTACAAGGGTGCCGCCCGTGGCACGGGCTTGCCCGATACAGACGAGCTCTTCGGAGGCGAAGACGTGGGCGTGCAGTGGCGGCAGGGTGCGTTCGCGCTGCGGAATGCGAGCTCGGGCGGCGGGCTGGCTATCGACGACGCCATCTTCGGCCGCATCAACAGCTACGAGGGTAAGGGCGGTGGCGGCGCCGTCTTCCTCGGCTTCGCCAAGAGGAGGCTGCCGCGGATCCGGCCGACGCTCCTCGAGCAGACGGGCGTCGCCGCTCTCCGCTTCGACTTCCCGGGGCGGAGGATGCAGCTCTCGCCGGTGCCGCTCATCGGCTGGCGGGAGGACGCGCTGCGACTCATCGACCTCCGCCCGCGCGGGACGCCAATCGCCAACTACGCGTGCCGGGTGGAGCGCCTCGTGGTCAACGGCTGCCTCGTCCCGCTCGACCGGCCGTGCGTTGCCGTCATCGACACGGGCACCACCGGCCTCTCTGTCTCCGAAGACTTGTACGACTCGGGCATCCTGCCTGTCCCGGTCCGCGAGGCGCAGATCGAGATGCGTACCGAGCGCGGGGGTGTCGCCGTCCTCGAGGCTTCGGTCCGGCGCCGGCGCCGCCCCTACCCGGGCGTGCCCACGATCGAACAGCCCCTCTCGGCGGAGGAGTACGAGGAGTTTCCTCTGGTCGTGTCGCCGGTGCCCGTGCCGTGGTTTGAGCCCGGCTTCGGCGAGGCCTGCGCCGACGGCGAGCCCTTCCAGTGCGATGGCACGCCGATCGGGACGTGCGTGCCTGCCGCACCGCGCCCTCCCCTCGCCCCGTGGCCATCTCCCGCTTGCGCGAGACATAGACCCCGCGGCATCCAGTCCTCCCCGCCGCGATTGCCGATGCCGTCCCCCAAGTGACCATTCCCTGGTCCCGCGTGGCAGGCGCCGAAGCTATCTCTCGACCCTTCTTCAACGGGTCGATGGTCTGGGCGAGAAGCCGCACGTACTCTTTGTCGGTGCAGCGTTTCTTTGGCCACGGCAAATCACAATCGACGTTGATGCGTGTCGCATGCTCATCGTTTGAGGAGGAGGGAGGCTGAGCTTGTGACACCCATTTGAGTTCATAACGCTATGATGCGTCGGAGTACCCGCCCTGAGAAAGAAAGAAAACAGGCAAGCCGCAATCGAAATTCTTTTTGCGACGGGTACCGGGGCCCCCAATTGTGTATGTTTATCGATCAACACTTTCGATAGACCGAAAGTAAGATCGTTCGGTGCAGAAACCCCGGCCATGCCCATGTAACGCAATTGTGCTCGATTTTTTTTGATTTTTTGGTAGAAGTGTCTCCAAGTCTTCTGGACCCATCGATGGCCGTCGCCTCGACGCCGCTCGTCGCGGCACCATCGTGCCCGGCCTGGGCGAAGCATCGTCGCGGGCGCCAGCCGCAGTTCGACGGCAAGCCGTGCGAGCCTGCTAAGGAGGAGGACATGTGGCTGTGCCTGGCCGACGGCCGCGCGCGCAGCACCGCCGACCTGAAGCGCCTGGCGACAGCCGCTCGGGTGCGAGCGAAACGAGCAAGAGATGCAGCCGCCGCGAACACGCGCGATCGGCAGGCGCGCGACCAGCGCCGCCGGCAGCGTGAGCAGCACGACCGGCGCGCAGCGCCGGCGGTCGCCAAGACCGTGCGCCCACAACGCGGCCAGTGCGGCTGCCCGGCGCACGCGGTGTGCGGCATGTGCGTCGACCAGGGCAAGCTCGCCGCGGCCGAGCAGGCGGCCATCGACCTGGAGACGCGCTTCCACGCCTCGACGAACGTCGTCATGGACCTGGAGCGGCCCGAGGACGAGACGGCGGCGCTGCTGCAGCGCTGCGTGCACGTCTCCGACGAGACGAAGCGGCGGCTGCTGGGCGAGTGGAGCGACGAGCGCATGGCGCACGCGCTGCCGCTGCACGCATGCGCCTCGTGCGGCGTGCGGGACCCGTCGCTGACGTACACGCGGGTTGACGTGTCGGCGCTGCCGCGCACTGTGTCTGTGCGCGTAGCCGGCGGCGAAGACGAGACGCGGCACGTGTTTGAGCTCTCGCCCGAGCAGTGCAGAAAAGGAGTTGCGGTGTTGATCGCCGCGGGAGCCCTCTTATATGGCAGCTCTCGATGTCGTCAAGCACTCGTTCTGGCCGTGGAGGGGCTCCTACCCACGGCAGTTACTGATCCTTGACAACGGCACCATCGTAAGCTGCGACGGCGGGCAGGTAACGAACAAGTGGGACGCCCAGCGGGTGAGTGTTGCTGCTACCTGGGTAGAGTTGGCTGCTCTCTTCTGGTGAGCCGAGCAATGGATCGCGCATGCCTACACGACTGCCACTCTCAAGCCCTACACATGTACACATCAGATCTGATGTAGGGCCCTACATCAGTCGTGTATATGAATGCATCAGATCACCCACTTGCCTCGCAGTCTCTCACTACCACAGGCACCCACACTGACAAGGCGGCCGGGCCCGAGCGGAAGCAGAAGGCCATCCTCCTCGAAAATTTCTTTTTTGGTATTTCTTGAGGAGAGGGAACCCCGGAAAAAGACTTCCCCTCCTTACACCAAGAGAGAGAGACACCAACGTCATGCGTAGAAGACAAAAACGATTCCGAGCGTCAGGTCGAGTAGGACTCCGGCTCGCTCCTCCAAGCGCGGCGCGCGTCCGGTCGAGTAGGACTCGTCCATGACCCCGGCTCGCTCCTCCAAGCGCGGCGCGCGTCCGGTCCGGGCAATGTCTTCTTCCTTTCCGGCTGCGGCGGAGTCTGCGGATGCGGCACGCAGACCTTGCGCTTTGAGGCGGTCAACGTCGACCAAAAATACGCCCTCCTCCTCTCCGTCGGCCAACTTCCGCAGAGCGCGACGCCAGTCGACCCCGGTGGCTGGCACGGCGGGAGCACGCCGCCTGCGTCGCCGCCGTCAGCGGAGCGCAGCAGCTCTGGCCGCGCCTTGGGCGTCTACACTCCGTACCCGAGCGAGCCTCAAGGTGCTGCGCTGTCCCGCACCCTGCCCTTGAACGATGTCTTGCGTTTGCGCTCTCTGCCTTGCTCCGACCCACGGCCGCACGTCGACCGCAGGAGGGGGAGGGGCTAAGCCCAGGTAGCCGGAGGCGGTGCGGCCCTTCGGCAAGAAGAGCGAATCTCAGTAGAGAGAGCGCTGCGATCCGAGACCGACGACACCGCGGAGCAGAGGTCGGGCGCGCCGACTCGCGCGCCGACGGCTCTCTAGGCCGCGGGCGGGCGGGCCGCGGGACGCATGAGTGGCGGCGCGAGGAGTGGGGGCGGGCCGCCCGGCCGCAACACGTAAGCAGCAGGTCGGTGCTCGAGCACCGCGCGCGCGGCCCGCGGCCCGGCGAGGCGGCCCGCCCACATGCCACATTGATATGCCCCTCCCCCCCGCCCACACCACCCGCACGGCGATCGGGCCGTATGCACCGCATAGAGCCGCGGGCGCCGGCGGGGCGGCCAGCCGGACCGCGCGGCGCGAGCCCGAGAATCGAGATACGGACACAATCGATCAATCGTCTCGCGGTGGAGTGCGTCCCAGTGCGTGCGCGCCGTGGCCCGCGTGCGGCGCGGCCGCGCGGCCGCGCGGGGCCGGGAAGGCGCGGGGGATGTAGCATGTACGCGTTACGGCGTTAGGTAGAGGATAAGGCCATGCACAGTGTGCGTTTCTAGATGACATGTTAGGCATGCCCGTATCGATCGTATTAAAGAGCACCATTTACGGCGGTTGCTGGCGTGCGGGGTGTGCGGGGGCGCTCTGCCTCTGGCGAGGCGACAAATAACGACCACCACCACCAGGACCGCGCGCTGCCAAGCTGGGGGCACGAGCGAGTGCACGCGCGTCCTCACAGCGCTGCCGCCGGAGGGTCCCCGTGAGTGCGGATGTGGGCCAGCTACTTCGACTTGAAGTAGTCCTGCAGGATGGAGAGGGCCTCTGACTCCTCGCCCCACTCGCGCACGACGACGCACGAGCAGCCGACGACCTGAAGAGGGGGGGGGGGGGGGGGGGCTTCAGAGGGGACTGAAGAAGCGGGGCAGCCAGCCGTGCAGCTGCGGCAGAGGGTCCGCGCGGCGGGAGAGGCCGAGAGAGGGCTGCGTGCAGGGCTTGAGGGGTCGCACCTTGCGGGCGGCACCCTCCTGGTCGAGCTTGGCGAGGCCGACCCACTCGCCGAGCTGCTTCTTGTCCGACACCTTCATCAGGTTGACCCCGTGCTCCGCGCACAGCGCCTCGACGAGCTTGGTGTACTCCGGCTCAGAGCAGTCGGCCGAGAGGACGCACAGCTGCGCCTGGCCCTTGTCGAGCGTCTTGGCGCACTCGTGCAGGCCGCGGGCGACGCCGTCGTGCACCAGCGCGTTCTTCAGCACCAGCTTGAGCGCCGTCTCGACGTCCATCACCGCCGGCGCCTCGGCGACCGGGGCCGTCTCGGCGACCTCAACCTCCGTCGTCTCCTCGTCAGCCATTTGAGCTCGCTCTTATCCTCACGAGCCTGCGCGGGCGGAGGGGCGGGCGCGACCTCGTCGGCGTGCAGCGGGTGGCGCGCGGAGGGCGACGCCGAGGGGAGCGCGAGAGGGCAGGAGAGCGCGGGGCTAGCCCTAAACGCCGCGTGCCTTTGCAAAAAGAAAATTTCCTCCGGCGCTGGGTGTGAGGTGCATGTACATGGAGATCACTGCTCTATTTATTGTGCATGTACATGTAGCTGCGAGAATTGGTGAGAAACTGCGAAGAGAGATAAAAAGTGGTAGACGCCCGAGGGTGGGCGACTGCTAGCACCACACTCCTCTCCTTAAAATCCCTGTGTGGTGGCGGCGACCGGCGTGCCGTCCTCCCATCCCTCCCTTGGGTTGTCTGTCTTCTTTCTTTCTTTTTGAGGTTACTGAGGGCGCGCCTCCGCCCTGCCCGTGGCGCCGACGGTAGTAGCGAGTATGATGCGGGTCGATCGCGCCCGCTTGCGGGCCGCTGGTCCCCGGGAGCAACAACTGACTGAGAATCGGTTTGCGCACGCACGTCCGCGAAGGCCACCCCGGTGCCGGCATCATCAGCAACGGCCTCCTCTGCAACGTCGCCGATGTTTGTGAGGCGTGCATCGACCATCGTGGAGCCGCACCCGACATTGCCGGAGTGCATCGACGCTGCCGCCCAGGCAATCGCCAGCGGCGCCACCTAACTTCCAAGGCCTCGCGTGCCTCGCTGGCTGCTCTCTCGTCTCAGAGCCTTCGTGCTCGGCTCGCTCTGTTCCGATAACCTGGACGACGCAAGAGGCGAGAAGACGTGCCTTTCCTGCTGAAAAGACTTAAAAAAAGTGCGTGTCCGAAGCAACACATGTTGCTTAAAATCCCTGTCCCCTGTGTCGCGGTGTGTGTGGTGGCGGCGTGCCGTCCGCTCCCAAGTCCCATCCCTCCCTTGGATTGCCAGTTTTCTTTCTTTTTTCTCTCATGTTCATGTGTACGCCAACTCAGGGTGTGTGGCAGCCAGCTGGCTGTGTGTCTTGTGAGCCTGTTTGTGTCTTTGTGTCGCTCGTGCGTGTCGTCATCATCTGTCTCGCGTCCACCCATACCGCGTTGGTGTCCACAGTCCAGTCCGAGCCTGACTGTTGTTCATCTTTCTACATACATACATGGGCGTCGAGCCGCCGAGCTGTTGCATAGTCAGCGTGCGCGTGATAAGAATCACCCCTCGACGGGTCGCTGCGGCGGCCACTGCGCCGATTCGAGGCCGTACTTTTGGAGGGCGTAGTCGCCGCTCTTGGCCACGCTCTGCTGCGCAACCTCGAGCGCCGTGTTGAAGCCAAAGATATCGAGGAACCTGAAGTGGCCGCGCAGGTAGGCGTAGGGCACTAGCGACGGCTCTTTCGTCGCGAGCAGGTTGGTCGGCGCGGGCAGGTCCTTGAAGTACAGGATGGGGAGGATGGCGAGCGAGACGGCCAGCATCGCCGGTCCGCCGCCCACCAGCCACGCCACCGACGGCACGAGCAGGTAGAGCATCCGCTCGCCAGCAGTCCACATGTGGTGGGAGAGCACCATCAGCAGCATCACCGTCCCGCGCGACGTGCCCTCGTCGCGCTGGTCGTTGGCCACCTGGAAGAGGAACGCGACCGTGTTCATGTAGCGCACGCTCTGCAGGTACGCGAGCGCCGCAGCGACGAGCATCAGCGACGTCGAGCCGTACTTGACGAGCTCGAGCGCCGAGAGCGTCTTGCGCGACGCGAGGCCGATGAGCAGCGAGAGCGTCGTGAAGCACGCCGAAGAGAAGAAGGACGCCGACGTCAGGCCGTTGCGCAGCGTCTGCACGCCCAGGATGTAGTCGCCCTTCTCGAGGATGTAGCGCGTCCACACCGCGCGCGCCTCGGCGTTCTGCGAGCTCCAAGCCGCGGTGTAGCGGTTTGACACGAGTTGGTAGGTGGCGATGATGGCCCAGCCGGCGAAGCCGAGGGGTGCGTCGAGCTGCTCGAGGCTCGGCATCGCGCAGCCGAACTTGGCGCAGGGCGGAGGGCTGCGGCAGTCGAGGCAGCTGCGACTTCCAGCTCCGCCGAGGCCAGGCAGCATTCGCCCTCGCGGCAGCAGAGGCCTCGGCGGCAGCGTCGTAAACGCGAAGGCTAGCGGTGTGAAGAGAGCGACCATACGCGACTGCGCACGGACATGCCAACCCGCGGGCGACACTCTGGCGAGTAGAGGCCCCGCCACCCTCTCCCAGGTCTCTCGGAGCAGAGCCCCGTCGAGTCATCGAAAGAGCGTGAATGGGTCCTCGCGGAGAGGGTACCCTGGGTGGGCGTTGCCTCTACTCGCCAGGGCGACAGTTAAAAAAATTAAAGAAAAAACCTCCGCACCGCCCACCGCGCCGCCGCTCCTGACTTGAGAGGGCGCCTGGCATTCGCGCCCCGCTGTCGTTCCCATGCCGCTCGACAACTTCTCGAAGGTGGACTTCTCCAAGATCGACCCGAGCGAGTACGAGGAGGAGGGCGCCGCGGCGAAAGCCATGTGCGCCGTCGCCGCTCAGAGTGGAGCCGCACGCTGCCTGCCACGCCGCCCACACCATGCCACGCCGTCGCCACAGGCAGGAGCGGATGCTGGACGGCGACCTCCCGGAGCACATGGGCATGGAGGAGATGATGGCGGGCATGGGAATGGGCGGCGGCATGGGCATGGGCGGCATGGGCGGCGGTGCTGGGCTCGAGGGGCGCGACTGGGACGAGTACAGGGTGGCGTCGATGGAGCCGGGCGACGTCGGGCTGACGCTGGACTGCAGCGGGGGCAAGGGCGCCCTCACAAAGACGCTGCGTCGCGCCGGCGCGCGCGACGACTTTGAGAACCCGTCCGACCGGTGGGAGGCTGTGCTGCGGCTCTCGGGCGCCGTCGCCGGCGGCGGTGTGCGGCGCGAGCCGTGCCGGAGGGTCTGCTTCGGCGCGTGGGGTCGACGCGTCCACGACGCGCTTCCCCTAGGCGCGCCGTTCGACTCCTTCGAGGGGTGCGTCACGATGGGGGAGGGCCGCCTCTCTGCGTGGCTGGACAAGGCCGTCCGCACGATGAAGCGCGGCGAGGCGTCCACGCGCAGATGCCGAGCACAACCTGCAAGTCGCACTCGCGAGGACGCGTAGTCAGCGGCATTCAGCGGCCGCCCGCGGTAGTCGCGGCGGGCTTCGCAGCCCGTGCACTCACGCGATGCTCCGGATTCACCACCCGAGACCGTGTTCCCGCCCTGACGCTGGCGTCTTCGCACCGCAGGCGTCCGCCTTCACCGTCCTGCCCGCGGCGCGGGACGGGGAGGCACTGCTCTCGGTGAGGCGCGAGGGCGGCCCGTCGGCCGAGGGGCTGCCGGCCGAGGCGGTGCTCGAGTACGAGGCATGGCAGCGCGAGGTGCGAGAGGACACGTGGCACGACGCGTCCAGGACGCGTCCAGGACATGTCCTCGCCAGGTGGAGCTGCGGGAGCTGCGGGAGGTGCAGGTGTTGTGCGACGGCCTCCTACTCCAAAAGACGCTCGTGCGCGCACCAAAGGGCCCTGGCTCGTGGGAGCTGCCCGGCGAGCGCGCCGAGGTGCGCTGCTCGTGGCGCGGCGAAGTGGAGGCGACGGGCTTCGTCTTTCGAGGGGAGGCGCCGTTCCGTTACTCGCGCGCCGACGCGTCGCTCCTGCGCGTGTGGCGGGAGCTGAAGATGAAGCGGGGCGAGGTGGCCCCACTCGAGGGGGCCCTCCGCCGAGGCCGCTCTCTCTCTCTCTCTCTCTCTCTCTCTCTCTCTCTCTCTCTCTCTCTCTCTCTCTCTCTCTGCCCGAGCTCGCCTACGGGTCGGGAGGCGAGCCCGAGCTGGGCGTGCCCCCGGGCGCGTCTTTGCTCCTC